GCTTGACGTGAGCCTCACATTCACCTACCTGGGCAACTAGCACGTAGATGAACAGGAAGGCGGCGGCTCTCATGGCCAGCTGAGCCATGCGTCCGATGGGCTCGGCGCAGCCGCCCTGGTTGAAGGAGCGCCACCGGAGCAGCCCCATAGTGCTGTCCTCCTCCCGCCCGTCCGTTCGCAGCACTGCGAGCGCAGCAGGGATTTGGTGTGGTGAATGGGCAAGCTCACTTATCTGATTTTGGAACTTTTAATGCGAAATAGTTGAAGGCATGAACTTTAAATTTTTACTCGAGTTCATGCAGAGAATAGTTGCTATTTGCGGGAGTAAGTATCTTTTCTGGAGGAATGTGTGTAAATAAAAAAATGCTCAGTAAAATTATCGGGTGTTTGACAAAAAAATCGAATTGTCACCGGCCAGGAAATTCATTATGCCTGCTCAGTGCACCATAAACCTACTGATATGGCATCAGGTAGGTTTCGACCCCGGTAGCTCACGCTGGTCGAGGTTGTCGCTCTCTGCCGTGGTGATGTTGTCATACGACCAAACCATGCGGCCCCGCCAGGGCGGCTTCCCGAGGTGTCTGAACAGCTCCGGTGGGAAGCTGTGCGCCCGCACCCCCTGCGCCTCGAAAATAGCCCGCGCCGCGCCCGTCCGCCCGTCAGCCGGCGGCGAGCGCTGATTGGTTGCGGCCGGCGGCGGCGGCGTGACGTCACTGTGACCGGTCACCTCGCGCAGGAAGGTGTCGAAGTTGGCGTATCGGCTCTGCACGATGGCCTGGCCGCGCCTCACGATATCCTGGGGAGGCCTGTAGTGGGACGGGACACAGTGTAGGGGGATGTTACGATGGGCGATAGAGAGGGATTAGATGGGGAGAGAATGATTGGTCAAGTGTTACCAGCTTGAATAACCATATAAAGGCAGTGACTGCAACATGTGGGCATGGTAATGAAAGAAATTACAGCAGTTGCCTGACTATGTAGCTCTGCCAACAATTACAGTAAATGGTGTGACTATTTTCCGACACTATACCCTTGTCCACTGACAATGCCAAGATAATCGTCACTTCCTTCCCTTCCTCGGCTCATTCACTTACTTCTTTAAAGCAGAAGCTACTCTTTTGAAAATGGCTGCATACTTTTCGTACTCAGACAAGTAATCGATTGAATATATTTTCGACTTTTTCACCCAGTCTTCGTTTTTCTTGGGACGGAAGAAGAGCGACACAGATTCGCACGGTGCCCCTATAAATAAACGGATTCATATGTACATTAAATCAATCATGTATATTGCATAATGCAAAACTGTTAAGCAAATCTTCTCATTTTCTGCTTGCATTGATATCTTCTTGCTATTTATTTGACTCAAAGCCATGAGTACTCGTATAGTGCGATTTAGACGAGTGGTGGTAAACGGTGAGTAGACATAAAACCCTGCTTTCGCTTAACGGTTGCCATCAAACTTACTTTGAGGATAAGGTCAAGTAATGGAACTGTATATCATGATTTTCCTCATAACGTTTAATATAAAAAAAAAAATGTTGAATCGTACCGATGAAATCCTGTCGACAGCAGCTGAACGGTGCCCAGCGCGGCAGAAACTCCCCATTGGCTTCCATGTAGTGGCTGAAAGGACAATGAACAGCGATAGTAAACACTGAACTGAAACGGCCCTCGTTACAATTCAGCGCTCTTGTGATATGCATGATTCGTCTTTATCGTCATATGTCAAGAACCTCATTAAAATGTCTAGGTTTTGTCGCTTATTTTTTCAAGCTTTGCAGGAACGTTAGGTACTATTTAGGTACTGTTACGTGTTGAGTGGATAGCGCCAGTAGGAAGTTCAGTGTGCCAAGCAGTAAACACCAGCGGAGAAGAAGGCTCTGCGACTCACCTGTTGGCCAGCCGGTTGATGGGCGCTGCGTTGCTGGTGTCCACCCAGCTAACCTTGAACCAATCAGAGATGGATGTGGCCCCGCAGCACTGGTTCTCTATCTGTAGACGGTTGATGTACTCCCTCATCGGGGTGTCAATCTGATGCATGGGAAAACGGGAATTCGAGTTATTTCTGTCAACAGGGGCGGCCCTGATTATGTTATCAAAATGTAGGTATTATATTGCCAAAAAAAATGAGCTAGCGATCTGCGATGAGTGACCAGAGAAACGGCCGATTTACAAAGAACAGGTGGACCAGAGACAAACGTTCATACAGCACCAAATTCATAACAAAATCGTAAAATCATGTTAGAAACCAAAATGAACACCTACACTGCTTGATATTTTCATTTAACGTAGATAAGTTTATCATTATGAAAGATTGATTGAAATTGAATGAAATACCGTAAGTGGTATTTCATTTTATGAAATTAGAAATCACTATTGGTTTGAAATGGACCACTCACCTTATACTTTTTCATGGCCTGTCTAAATCCCAGTGCGATGCCGTGTACGACCATGCTCTGGTGTGCCGTCAGCACGATTATGGCGGCTACAGTCAGCGGCACCAGCGCACATCCGGCCAGTAGCCAGTAGAACAGCACAGAGTGGAACCGCTCCCTGCCAGAGACGCCAAAAAGATAGAATACCACAACAATGAACTGCTCCCCCTTCCAGAAACAGGCATTAGCCAGAGCGGCACGGAATTTAAACGTTCCTCTCCAGGCACGATAAAAGCCAGAATACGGAATTAAAAGGTTCCCTTCCTGACATGAGAGAAAGCAAGAGCACGGAATCAAAGGGCTCCCTTCTAGACACGGAAATTTGTAACAACAGCACGGAACCGTTCTCTCCAGCAGGACGACACATTAAAAAAAAACATTATTCCTTCCGAAAAGCTATGAAAGTGAAATATTTAAATGGCATTACGTGTCCGCTATTTTTTGTTTGAATCCAAATGATATGCGAAAAAAATCATCGTGTTTAGTCTTCATAAAGCCAATAATAAAAAGGTCAATTAGAAAATGAATGAATCTCTTCGATCTCCACCATTTTGCAATTAACCCTCGCCGGACCTATTGGTTTTCTACATACGCGCCGGCCGAGGGGGGGGCGGGTACGACCCCCCTCCCCTCGCCGTTTCGCCCCTGGTGGAGCTAGCACGTCGCGGAAAAAACGAGCGTGTGCGCCGTTACGAGACGCAGAGATTGGTACCCGATTTTAAGGTCCTAGGTCAACCGGTGACCTCTGAGGTCAGGTCAAGTGCCCCAAGGTACGGTTCAGTTTTTGGTGAATAACTTCGCAAAAAACGGCCGCAGAGCGCCGATTTTGGCAGCATCGTGTTCGTCTCGCTCAGGCGCGTCGAATGATATACTTTTTGTCCGGGTCAGGTCAACTTGGGGTGTTGACCTCAGGTCAAGGTCAGGTCAGCACCCCCAGGTCACGAAGTTGGTCGAAAGAGGTCATGTCGCATATCATTCGATTCGGCAGGTCTTCCTGAGTCCATTGGTGGCTTTCCCGACTCGCTAGCTCAATTTGATCAAGAGTTATTGACGAAAAACTAATATGACCTTGATGACGTCATAAATGACGTCACGCAAGGTCAACATTGCAAAAGTGACGCATCTAACCTTGCAAGGAGTGCATCAAATCACGATTCTGTGTGCTTGAGATAGTTGGAGATCGTTCCCGGCGCCAGAATAGCAGTTTTCATTTTTCCCCATTGACTTATAATGGTGAGGTCACGAAAATGACCTGACCTCATATGACCTTTAGGAAAAATCCGAGATATACAAGTTGTGGGACTCATAATGGATACTAGATCCTGCAAGTTTCATTTCCCTGTGACATCTCCTCTGGCAGTGAGGGCGTTGCGAAGTTGCGACATCTGAAGACCGTGCAGAGGTTCACTTATGACGTCATAGGTCAGTGACCTGACCTGACCCAAAAATGCGGTTGGTGTCAAAAGATCCGGCTTGGATCAAAGGTCAGGTATGCCAAGTTTCAGCTCTCTATCGCCAGCGTGTTCGGAGCTATCGCGAAAAAAACCCTATGGGGGGCGGCACCCCCCCCCTCGGCCGGCGAGGGTTAAGATATCGATAATCGACTGCGTTACCATGACACTTACCTGGTCTCGTAGAAAGCGCTGTCATAACATATTTTGGCACCTATGAGGTGGAACACAAGGAATAGCAAGGACAAACAAAGAAGAAGTTTAAAAAGTGAGTTTGTGTTGTAAAACGCAAGGAAGTTACCGAAGGAGGAGGCTTCCTGTTTCACGAACAGGCCCATGGCTCCAGTGGCATGCGCTATCACCATGATGCTGAAATTCAAAAAGAACAATAGTACTCCGAGATACGATCGACAGGTCTCCGAAATGTTTATCCGTAGGTACTGCATTATCTTTACTAAATAGTTCTGCTAGCGTTATGTCCTAGTAGTCTTGATTGGATATGTGCATGGTCTTGGTGCGCAGGTTCACTTTTACCCACTTTTACCTTTCTTTTGCCCTTGTCTTTTGCCTTGCTTTTGTCCCTTTTGCCGCATGGTTTGAGTTTATTTGCGAAAGTAGTCCGTGCACATTACATTAGAAGATCTTCCAGTCAACGCCTTGAGTAGTTTCGGTAAACAATGAACATTTATATAATTGCAGCTGGGCGAAGGGCGGAGCGACTGCCATGCAAGATTATGTCTCTGGTCAGATCATTCGATCATGATTCCGGTCATGAAGGCAGGGCCGTCTGTATGCCAAGTCCCTGTCAAATCTAACACCAATCTTGCTAAAGAGCTTTCAAAGAACTATTCACTATTAAATGTTTCCTCACGATGAGTAAGCTCTATGCGTTCCTGAGTTTATTATCCGATGTGTCTAAGAACATGAAGAATTGGGAACATTGTGTCAAACCTCCGTGACTTTCGGCGCCTTTTCGAGCCCTGCACACCGTTTGTGCATCTATGTGGTCCAGGAAGCACGTTACATGGCGACATAAAACCCCTCCCCCCACACCCACACACCTCGGTGTGTTACGACCTGATCACGTCGTCCTGGCGCGAGCTAAAACAACACGTGAAAAATAGGTCACATTTATTTGGTATAGACATAGGCATAGCATAGTCTACGCTATAGATATACAACATATAGAGGGCTGTCAGCATAACTTCGTGACGTGCTCGGACGATACACATAAGCTCAACCGCACATTGCGCCTCGTACCTATAAGCACTTCATCTAAAACAAAATACTTCAACTTGAACGAAATGAACATCAAGCAGGTGGTCACTTGTTAGCACCATTATGAGATCAGTCGGTTAACCCTGGAATTGAGGATTTGCACATAAGCCCGGAATGGACATTTATTTGGAAAGGTGCTAGGTGGTTGAAAGAACAAATAAGACCCTGAGGTAGCATGGCATCAGCTTGGAACAGTCACACGAAAAGGCATGAGTTGAGGACATATAAAACAAATAGTCACCGTCAGCTGAGGCAGATTGTTACGCAATGAAATAATTCGTTACGTTGAGATTATTTGACAACGTAGCCCAGTCCGCTACTGTGGAGTCGGGAATGGTCGATTCAGTCGAGGTCGATTCGGTAGAGATCGATTCGGTAGAGCCCGCTAACCGGTGGAGTTGTGGTTATATCGAGTTATCATTTAACATCACTTTTTATCTTTATCGCCAGCATATGGTCGATGGCCAAATAGTAATGATGGTCCCAGCTTTTATGCATATGCCCGAATGTTTTTCAAAGTATTTTTTTTTTTGTATCACAACACAGACTATAGCTTTCGGCTAACAACCAGCTGAAGGTGCATTGTGCATGATTTGTGCAAATAACACTTAATACAATGGCACACATAGCATGTGCACATATACGTACATCAAACATCTAACATGATTTACATCACTCGCTGCGGGTATACTTTGCATGCAATACATTTACTGCATTAAGTGTGAATATAGGGAATAGGAATCTCTTGTGTAAAGATAACTGTTCTCCTGAGCATTTCGTTTTGCATGATGCAAAAATAATTCTTGCGATTTCATTACCGTGCTTCCGAATACCTTACAATTCACTCATTAATATTGGCATTGCAGTTACGTTCCTTGAAGCAAGTCCTTCATACACCCTTACGTTGAGAAGATTATGTCTGCAATAAACTAACACATGGCTCATATTATTCACTCCGGTGAATGCCGCCTTCTATAACACAGACACAAACTTGTCGGCTTTCTCACGCAAGTCGACAAACGAGACAGCATTGAACGCTGACTTTCACAGCTTAGGCGCCAGAGCAGCACACAAATCAATACAATCAGATGATACAAACCACACAGGACCAGTCAGTTTCAGCGCATGCACCGCCTATATGTAGCTGTCGGACATACGCAAGCAACTGTCGGAGCAAAGTACTGCGATCCGGGCTTGTCATATTCAGTAACGGCTTTTGAATCAGAGAAACCGACCACTTTCAGAGAATGTCGCACGATATCCCCTCCCTCGCACAGTGACGAGAAACAGTGTTCTTTGGACAGTGACTAGTGAGCCAGGACAGCAACGTCTGTCGACTTTTTACGACACAGAGTTTCAGGTGACTCCACCGCCGGGTGGCTCGCCTCAGAAGACGGCGAGATGACTGCTCGACAAAGGGGCGCTGCATGCGTTTGATACGATTTCTCGTCATTGCCTTCCCATTGACGTAATTACGGCGTTGCAGCCGATGTCTAGCAGCTCCAACAAAGTCCCACTAACATGCAGACTTACGTCATGCGTGGACAGCAGCACAGCGCACCATGCGACTTCATGATGCCTTTCCCTTCAGTTGTTAACCAGCGTAACAGCGGTCGGTCATGTTTCCTTCAGTCATCGGCCAGCAGCGGTTTGGAGGGCTGCACGGTGGACATCTTTCCCTCGGTCATCGGCCAGCAGCGGTTTGGAGGGCTGAATTTCCCTCAGTCATCGGCCAGCAGCGGTTTGGAGGGCTGCACGGTGGACTGGTGGTAGCGGGAGCGGTGCTCGAAGTCCTCGTTCTCCTCTGTCACCTGAGTCTGCTGAACGTTCACCCCCGGTGCCATCGGGGTAACCACCATCCTGTCGTACTGAGTGGCCACTCGCCGCCTGCCGCAGACGGCACACAGACAGATAAGCTAGCGACATTACCGAAATAAAGAAATAAAAAATGGCAACTGGTTAGCTGCTGATAAAACCGTCATTTGACTGGGATTTGGTCGATGTCATGGTCACACCAGCCTCTTTTTAAAATGTTTACCTTATTTGTTAGCGTGTACAAAAATAAATGCAAAATGTTCCGCACCATAAAACGAGACCGGTAAAACAGTTGGCTAGTACTAACTATCCCTAAAGAACAATCAACCGCATCCCATACTCATGTCAGTAAGTCGCTAGCATCACGACCCCTCACAGTGCGGGCGGCTCCCCTGACCCTGATGTCTGTTCGAGCGTCACTCACCGTCCCAGCGCGATGGCTAGCAGGTTTTTGATCCACTCGCCAAAGGAGAACGAGTCGGCCAGCGCGGCCGGACAGCCGGGACTGGCATGACGCGCGTACAGCCAGATCAGCAGCACGGCCAGCACCGTCAGCAGGCAGTACAGCCAGTTCACCAGCATCATCATCACCAGCTTCAGCAGCATCTGTGAGCAGCGTGCACAGCAGCGTCAGCAGACAGAACCATCCCGTGTTTTGACTAAAATTTCGGCTTGATTACGGCACGCTGTAGATGTTTTGTAAATACGATTCAAACTCTTAGACTCGAAGTATTTTGTGTGGAGTTAAGTCCTCATTACCTTGATGCCTACTTTCTTTTAGTAAGTATGTATGTCCCCTGGGGTTCTCTGCACTCACTCCGATCAGAGAGACCCATCTGTTGCAGAATCGCGAGTACCAGCTGGGCGGCTGGAGCAGGATCCCCTCCTGTTCAGCGAGCAGCGTGCGGACGGCGGCCGAAGGGTCCGACGCCGGCGCCGCCGTCTCTGCCGGGCGGAAAAGGAAGCAGGGAGCCGCTCATCAGAGATTTTGTAACAAAAGGTAATCAACAAATATCAGTCGTTGGTAGATAGTGCGCTCCAGCACCGGATGAATAGTAGGCAAAGCAATGGAAACGAGGATTATGGTTATGTATAGGGCCGAGACCGGGAAATATTTGTCTGTGACCGGAAAATAATTGTCCCACAGACAGGCAGGGAAATGGCGTAGACGATATATGTAATACACAAACGTATACGTACCAGTGGTCACTTGCCTCACGCTGTGGGAGCTCGAGTCTTCCTCTGGCGAGGACGGCAGACTACCTGTGTTCGTAGACTCCCACTGAAACGAGCACAAAGTCAACACATAGAGATGGCCATCGATCAGCCTAATCGTCGTGGGACGCTGAATTCAAAACATGCAAATCGAATGCAGATTATTCCGGCTCCGGTCCGCGCAGCCTCTGCCAAGAGAGAGGAGGAGATGGCTCTAATGGGTGTCATTTAGCGTTATATACTGGCTATGAAAAGGATTAAAAGCACTTTACTAAACGCAAAGTAAAGAATGAAAAGTTATTGGGCATGGTATAAGAGTTATAGACAACAAATTCAATTATTTTTCAACCATCATATGGCAAAAAAATGCCCCCGTCGAAAACAGGTGCTCGTATTACCGCCCTCGAAAAGAGAATTGCCGCATAACGAAATGCGACCATCTTCGTGCAAAATATTAGATACATGATAAATATGAAGTGAAAAAGTAACCTGAAGTTCCTCAAGATAAATTCATGACTCTCATCAGTTGGACGTACCGAGGACCGCATTGCGCTCTTGCTCTGCTTGCTGACTTTATCCACGGCTCCGTAGGCCGAGCTACCCTTGCCAGAGGCGTCGAACACGGGCGATCCCAGCTGCTGAGTCCTGTGAAACACCATCTGGTTACCGGTAATAGGTCCAACCACACGAATCCCGCGACCCCGCGTACCCAGCGCACGTACCTATTTCAGAGTCCAATCACGGTCAGAGCTGTTAAAATGAAATGAGTTTCGCCAACAAACTTCTCAACAACGTCCGAAGTTTGACGGGAAGGCTGTGAAATTTCGCTGACTAACCACTTGTCAGTTATGAGTTGATGTGGTTCTCCGAATGGAATCCCCACCCAAATTTCAGGAGTTGGTAGGCAACAAGATAAACAGTCCTCTTATAATGCGTAAAACTTTGCCAATCCAGGCCCTCTTCACAGCATCCCATCTCCGATGATTTAGTGCTACCCGATCATTACCAATCAAAATCAAGCATTTCATTTCCTTTTTATATCGCCATTCCCTATACCACGTTTACCGTAGCATCTTGTCTAAACGTCAAAACAAATGTATGTCCCCACACTGGCGGATCCAGAAAGGCGGTCTTGGGCGCTGCGGGGGGGGGGCATACCCCCAAAAAAGTCTCTAATATCCAAAAAATACTCGGATTCAATTCCTCACGCACAGCTGAGCAGTTTAACACAAACCTTTCGTAAAAAGTGTTTTGTTTTCTTTTCCTCTCGAAACCCCGCATTTTTTCGTTTTCCGACACCACCGAATGGGGGGGGGGGCGGCATTGCCCTCTCCCCTGGATCCGCCAGTGTGGTCCCACCGTCCACCTCGTCTGGTGGGGACCGCTGCACAGCACTCGTCCACTGACTGTCTGGCGTGGCTCTGCTGCTCCTGGATGTCGTAGGCGTGCGCCAGCGCGAAGTAGGCGTAGTCGATGCCGGCGTACGTCATGAGGAAAGGCAAGGTGACGATCGGAGCCAGCCGGTTGATCTGGCCAATCAGGATGAACACCAGCGTCCCGGTGGATACTGCGATTAAGGAGTACACCGGCACCTGGTTCGCACCGCTCTGCGGAAACCGGACAGAGAGAGAGAGAGAGAGTGGTCAATGTGGATTCGGCTTTGGCTAATTATGCATGAGATGCTAAATGCAACGGCAATTTGGTGGCGTTCGCGTGTGGTATGAGGATTCCATGAAGATGAATGATGAACGAAAGTGGCGGCTAGAATACCTACAATGACATGGTAGCTAGATTGAAATGATAAAGGCTTCACTTGTAAAGCCTGAATTGGCCTGAAAATTATTTATATTAACCAAGGCCATATATAGATATTAACTGCATTCAGCCGGCGTGTGAACAAAATTGAAATTCGTAATCCTTCCATTATTCGCATCCGTTATATTTGAATGAAATGCCTGGTTAGCGCTCCTTACCACTTTGCTCAACGGCTTCAGGCAGCGAATGATGTTCTCGTTTGCAATGCTCTGGAGAACCCGTGGAGTGCCGTAAAGTGTTGAAAGACATGAAGAGGAAGACGAAATGTAGAGGCCCAACAACAGGAGCACACCTGTAACCAGCCAACCAGAGTGAGTAACTTTGGCAGAGATTACATGATACCTCAGCAAATGTACAAAAAAAACAACTAATTGTAAGGTCAAAAAGCAAAATCTTGCAAGTTATTCATGGCATTGATAAGGTATTTTATCAGCTAGTCCTCACCTGTGGCCGCTACGCGCTCAGCAATAATGTAGTCGGTTAGAAGGGCCTCCCTGGTACACGTAGCAGCCAACACAAAGGCAAATAGCATGTACAGCACGGTGCTGAAAAACGTTCAGGGTCGGTCAATACCTCACGGAAAGTCGTAATATTGATCGATTGCCATCGTGATCGGGTGAAACACGTTCCATTGTGATTCTACTTCTTCAAATTGGTTCTACTTGTATTAATATCGACCGATCAAGTCCTTTTGCGTAATGGCGAAGCTATTCAACGTCGTAGAATATGTCCGGCTAAAATATCTGTGCCTGTGTACCTTTTGTGTTTGTATGCATCTTTACCTATGTTTGAACTATGTATACGAATAACACGGAATAAATATTGGAGACTTTTATTTCTCTGAAAGTCAAGTAGACTAGGCAGTCAGTTGGTTGCCACCTGTAGAGGAATATATTATTTGGACATTGTGACCAATAAATGATAGAAAAACATCTAATGACGTTCCTTTATTGACTATCTCACAAGGCTGGCTTGATCGTCATTCTACAAACGCGTTCGTAGAACATACGTCGCGAACATGCGTCGTGACGCATGTTCCTTATTCACACATATCTATGTAGGTGAGTAAGTTAAAGAAGGACTATACGGACCGTTCATTTTCCTTCCCCCTGACCGACCTTGCTCCCAGAGCAGCCAGCGTGCCGCGGGGGATGTCCTGGCGCGGGTTGCGCAGGTCACCCGACATGTTGATGCCGGCCATGATACCCGTCAGGCTGGGGAAGAAGACGCCGAACGCGCTGAACCAGTTGTTGCCCTCGGTGTAGCGCGGAGACGTGTTGTTCCGCAGGTTCTCCATGCTCCAGCCGACGTACCCCTCACCTGGAACGCACCCGAAGTGCTTGGTTAACTAGGGGCCGAAACATAGGTATGTACATGTAGTGTAGGTTCAGGCGTGGGATCGTGACAGCTTTCTCAAATCGTTGGGAAACTTGGTCAGGTATGGGGACAGATAACTTGCTCACGACCTCCCAAATTTTATCTGGTCATCCGAAAACCGAGGCGAAGTATAGAGCAGACATGGGTGCAGAGCAGCCCCTCATGGGATGGATCAGCTATGAGGTCACGCCGCACAGCCATAGAGCCGCCTGACACGCGAACCGCTGACATCTCGACAAACGGGATGGTCCGCTACACTTCGTGCTGGCATTTTGTCTGGTTAGAGACCGGCTCGGGCACGCCAAAGGGCTTGCGGTACGGGAAAAGGTCAACAGAGAGTGCATCAGCAGCAATGGTAGTTACCGCTCCACTTTGGAGATGTATTGGCGAGAAGCCCGAACTCTCCTTGACCTTTATGCATGTGTGTACTGAAATATTGATAGAGTTTGTCGGAAACGCGCGGCGGCCGTGGCATTTGCAGCAGTGTTAGGAAAGTGTGCCCAGTACTTCCGTCGGAACGGCTCAACTCGCACAAACGGTCTTCTAGGAATGTTGCAACTCTGGCGCCGCTTCAATGAGACAATATCAGTTCATAGAAACACGAATGGTATCGCCGTGCTATGAAGCAGAACAATGAGTTGATTTCAGACGAACGTTTGCTGAGGATCTTGGGACCCTGGCTTAGCAGAATACACAGTCCTCTGCCGCTATTTGACCAAGCCAAAATCATCTGGTTAATTAAAGCGTTGTTGAAATAGATCACAAATTGTATGAACTCCGAATGTGGTCCATTTCCGGAAACGAAATTTTTGAGTCATCTATATTACTTTCGTCAAGACTGTGATAACAAATGGGCCTACATTTGCATATTCTCATATTCACCCGCGTCTTTCAACCAATGACAATAATACACAACTACCACGTCACATAGCACAGCCAAACCTCCTCCCCCCCCCACCGGGCGAGGAAGTCTCACCTGCCAGGGGGTCGCCGACCAGCGAGCCAAACAGAAAGTCGAGCACGGCCAGCGCCAGCAGGGCCAGCAGCACAAACTGCACCTTGATGACCCACTTGACGCCGGCGATGTTGATGGCGGTCAACAGGGCGATCAGGGTGACGCCCACAGAACGCTCGACCCACGGGTTTTGCGGCGTGTTCACCAGCTCGGACATGGACTCACCGAAGGCTGCGGCGCATAACGCGCACCCCACCGCCTGCCGGATGGACACGGTACTGTGGGCAATTACAGATAATGCAGCCGCTAAAAGCAAATGGGGACGTGTAATGTTTCATTCCCGTAGTGGGATCGGAGCTGGTTGCAGGGTTAGCGTTTGGAAACAGTTTGCAACGGGCCATAGTCCGTTCCGTTCACCGACTTCGATGGGCTGGTTGGTATAATCTTGGCTTGGTCTAGAATTAGACAGTTGCCTACCACTCAGCCCCGGGCCATCCCCGTCGGGAGGCGGGAGCGTTTTGTAGCTGCTGGAAAGCTACAAACGTTTTTATGGTGCCTTCCCTGCGAGCCAATCTACTATTGACGCGGGGCATTCGGTAACATAGTTCCTAGCGCTGTCACTAGATGGCAGCAGTGGTAGACGCCTAAATGTAGACTGTGCCGCACAACGCGTTATCGGACGGAGGCTAGATCCGCGCGGTATCAAAGCGCTCCAGTCGTATCGATTCCGACCCCGCATTCAGCAGCGTCAAACATACGACTGTTTGGCACAGCATGCCAAACATTCGACTTCCATCAAATTGTGTCCTTTCAACAACTCCCATTCCAATAAGTATGGTACGACAACGGCACTACTAGCCAGAAGACGCACTACTGGAAAATACCTCTCCGAAGACGCCTCACTAAAACCCACCTGCCCGAAGCAGTAGACCAGGCCGATGGCGGTTCCGAGGTGGGATCCGAGCACCTGCGAGACGAGCGAGTACACCCCACCGGTGGCCATGGGGCACCTCTCACAGATGCCGATCGCAGAAAGTACGGACGTCAGTACCACGCACACTGTGGACATTGTGAGAGTGGCGCAATAATGACTGGAAGGTCAGATGCATCCTGTGCTATGGAAAGCCTAATGAATGTTATTCAGCGTATAGGAGCATGCTCGATGCTCTTGTGTAATATGAACGCATAACAATTAACCGGTGATAGGTAAAGTGACACCGTAAGTTTTGATGAACCTTTCGTGTTATGTGCATTTTGTATATGTATGCATATTTTGTTATGGGGCATTTTCAACTAAATGTTTTATAGGAAAAAAGAATAATTATCTTATCTAATGAACGTGATTACCTGCATACGTTACATGTGCATTGTGCAACGGACCCAAAGCAATATTGGCGTTTCTTTTTCTTATAATGCTGTTATGATCCACATTCAATCCACAAAATTACGACAACCACAATGGTAACCTGCCAATTATTTTCCTACTAATCCAGCTAATCTGATTTTGATCCTGGCACCATGGAATTGTAAAATGCCTAGATAAAAAGCAGATGTTGACAAAATCGGCGCTCCGTCATTGTCTCTCACAGCTTCTGTCAGAACCTGTCAGCTCACTCCGTCAGAGTCTGTCACACACTCTAGCATTGTCTGTCACAGTTCCGTCGGAGTCTGTCACCCCCACAGCCGGACCACTGACCGCAGGCGATGATGATGAGGAAGGTGAAGCCGATGCCGGCCTGCGCCACCATCCAGCCGGAGCGCAGCAGCACGATCACGCCGAAGATGTTGACGATGACGGTGGTGAACACGCCGTCCCAGGTGCCGAAGAGCACCGGCGACGACACGAAGAAGTTGGACCGCCACCACGGCTGGTGGCGCTGTGTGCGCGGAGGGAGGCGATCAGAGAGATGGGCTGACGATGGCGCCGCGCGGGGAACGAGGCAATGAAGGAAGTGGTTCAGTTAGAAACGTGGCGCACACTTACTTACATAGGATCAGGCTGTTCCTGGATAGATCAGACAGAAATCAGCCAGTCGATTATGATTATGTCGAGGCAAGAAAATGTCTTCTCTGGTGTAATGAATGGCGGGACCAAAGGACAGTGTCGTATTCCCATAAAGGTCTAACGAAGCATGTTTGTTACACCGAATAAAAAAGGCCGTGTCCCTTGGGGTACTCAACAACTTTTCTGACTGTCAGCAACTCCCGGACAATCTTTGTCTCCTCCCTTCCCAAAAAAGCTGCAAGTTCCGCCTGTTGATACAGCAAAGTTCTTTGAGGCTTTGACAGGGAAATGGATTTCGTGCAAGTCACACTGATATCGGGCTGGCTAGATTGCTATTTGATAGAGTCAGTGGCAATTTTCAGTTGGAATGGCGGTTTGTTTTTCATCATCATCCACTAGCTCACCGTCGCACCAATCACGTTTTTGTTGGAGCTAGATCAATGTTGACTTGTTTTCTCAGAAAATAGAGCGCTTTCTGAAACCCAGATGGCCCGGGGAATCAATTACGTTCGCATCAAGGAAAAGCAAATACGTGAGAGACATATGGTATCGTGTTCCCTAACAACGCATCAGTTATTAACATTGCATGGGAAAGAAGGCGGCATTCACGTCCTTTTCCTTGCGTGAAATAATTTTGAAGTTGACAAATCCTTTCAGGCTCCAAAATATAAATGGTAAAATGTCATATCATTTTTAAAACAAAGGCACCAAATCGCTCTGTCGGCTATGCTTGGCTCAAAAATATAAGCTTCATAGACACAGTGAAACAGTAGGCGTAATTACGAAACATAAAAAGCACACTCAGCACGAATGATATGAACAAAGTCTAATTACGTAAAACAGTGAAGCGTATATACTTGTTTGATTTGTAGGCTGATCAAATCAGTTTTAGCCTGGGCTAAATGTATACTCAGTTAACATAATAATAAAAAACTGGTCCTTGATGTATTTATGCTCTTGATGTTATGGTGTCAACTTGTTCGGCTCGGTGATTCCCTTGGCGATTTATTACGTATCCGTAGGTATATCCAGTTCGCCAAACTCGATAAGCAGAGACCACATAGGTAACGCACGGTTGTCGGCTAGTGCTTCCTAACGACTTACGAAACGATTTATGCATGCAATATGACACATCTCATCACATCTCATCAGAGTATCTGCAGTGTGCCTCACCTGTTCCTCAGCGAACAGCTCGTCATCTCGCTGGGCGGCGCCGGCCAGCGGGTCGCCGGCGGACGGCTCGGCAGCTGCCGGTCGGCCGGCCGGCTCCGAGCTCAGGCCGAACCGACTCCAGTCCACGCTCACCATGGCGGCGGCGCCGTGTCGCGGCCGTGACCGCGCCGGTCACGGAGCTCGTGACACTCGGAGAAACGTCACGGCACGGCTGGGCGGTGACCAGAGCTGCACCTGGGGTGACCCGACGGTCACGTAATACCTGAGTAGTGCTACTGTCTACACTCTATCCATGTTGTCATACAGCACACGACACATCAGGATAAAGATTATTCGTTCAGGACACCCATTGGAATGTAAATCTTTTTAATCCCTTGCAGGAATTCAGAAAGTGGAATGTCGTGTCATTTCATTTCACGCATTGATTGTCACGTGAAGATTGTATATTAACGTTGATTGTCACGTGAAGATTGTGCGTGACGTGTCGTATAACTCAGCTTTAGTTAGCGCTTTTGTACTAACGAGGATGTAATGACGTCTGTTACGATCCGTGATGCTGTCCATGAACGGTGAAGTGACCACGGGCACAGCAGGTTAGCTGTCGGGTCATTTGATGCGGCTAGTGTTCCACAAACTGCAGATTGAATGTAGTAGGTGTGGCTGTAATAACTGACGCCAGCGAGGCCCAATCAATGTTTGTAGCCGTGTACCCAATTCCAGGAGAAGTCACTTGAGGATCCATTCCGACTGTCTTCCCACACCAACCCATAAAAACCGTCCACAGCAGGAAAGAACGGTGAAGCTATTAGCTAGCACTTTCGCTAGTTTCTGGTATTTAATGGGATTACTTTAGAGCTCTTCCAGACCACTTTTTTTCAGGTTGCCGAGCGATGCTTCGAAAACATTGTGTATTACTCTGTCTGTTGACATGACTACGACAGAATTATAGGACTGATCGCGCAAGACGTTCACAGTTCATAAAATAAATAGCAAGTAGGGGAAGCCGGGGGAAGCCCGGGCGCGGGGGAAGCCCGGCCACCCCGTTTCCGGCTAAATTATTCACAATAAAATGCTCAACTGTTTGTCCTTTCAGCGTGGCAGCTAAGGTAACGCCAGCAAACAAGTTAAGGCTAACCAAAATTGCATATTGTTAAAGTTATAGCGCAAAAATGATATTTTAAGGGTTTTTAGCTAAAAAGTGAGATATGTTGCACTGTTAATGTTATACCATACAGTACTAATATTTATACGAATGTTATGTAAGGACCGTTTAAGTGTTTGTAGTGAGGGGTGACGAGGCAGGCTGGCTTAAGTATGACATTTTTTTCGAATATCGCTGTTCTAAAATAAAAATTAGCACATTGGGGTAACCCCGGGCGAGTGGCCAAGCTTACCCCCAACCGAGAGCAATGCCACTAAACCACTGTTTTCGATGAGATAATAGGTACTGAGCAGGTTTGGTTTACACCTAGATCAAAGATAAATTTCGAAAATAAACAAGTTGTCATAGACAAAGCCAGTCATGTCACTTAAGGTCAACTAGGGTCAAACTACGTTTTTGCAGATAACGCGACAGACAATGAAGCTAGAGCTTCAAAAATGGTGTCGTTGTGTTCTTCTTCATCAGCCGAGTCGAGTGATATGCAATATGATGCATTAAGGTAAAAAGAAAAATAAATTTTAAGGAATTTTGAAAAAACACATTTTTTGTCAATTTTGCATCACGATTTTCATCGACCTGTACTGTAGGATGTGGTAGACGCTAGCTAAAATACCAGTAGGGACATAAACTCTAAGATGTCCAGAGCTAATCAGTACCTTAATATTTCACTTTCCGTTAATATTTGGAAGACACATAATGGTTTCATCAACTCGTTGTAAAGCGCTGGGGAGGTGGCCGGCGTTACCCCTATGCCGGGCTTACCCCAGAAAAATCAACACTTTTTTAAAACTCGATTTTCTCAACCTTATACTTATTCCACGAAACCGAATTTTTGGGAAAACACGGCCAATGAACTTAGCTAGCTAATAGGATATCAACATTTTATGCAGCACGTATGGTATGTAATAAAAATGAAAAAGAGCTTACTATGCCGGGCTTCCCCCGGCTTCCCCTATTGTCCGCCTAGTTAATGTAAACAAAAGAAACTATAAGACCGACAAAGTAAAGCTAAAAAGCAGGGCGGAGCACCATTACTGGAGCATGAACTATACCAGGCTATTAGCCCAGTTCCAATAAATGACAGTTTTTGTGGCAACTCAGGCAAGCACATCACCCCGATAGCATGTGGGCCGCCCACCACCCCGCCCATTTCGCAGCATATGGTACCGTTTACGAGCGCGCCCACCAGCGGGTCACACGCACCCGCTGCCCCTCCCACCCCTCCCGTCCCCTCAGTGACCACCCCGACCCCCTCCGGTCCCCTTGGGTTCCACTGAGCCGGCCCCGGTGGGCGGGGGTCTCACCTGTGCTGGAGCGGGCGCGGGTGGTGCGGCCGGCGGCGGCAGCGGCGGCGGTGTGCCGACCGGCGGCCGGCCAGCACCGGCCCGTATCGACCAGAGCAACATCGACGGCGACGCCGGCCGACGAGCAGGCGCGTCGCTGCCGCGCCGTGTGATGTCCGCGCTGTTTGGAGAGACTGCCGACGGCAGGTGACGGGAAATTGGCCTTGGCAGAGAAGCTGGGAATAGGAGAGAAGTGTTCCCCAAATCATGTATACTGAAATTACTTATCTCAGGCATCTTTTGCAAAATTGTCAGGAACTTTGATTTGTTTTTCAATAGTGCACTATTCTAACGAATAGTGTTTTGACTATTGACAACAAACCTTCGGTTACCTAAATGTATCGTTTTGTGTTTTCGTGGGGCACGCTTGATACATTTGCCCCTGATCAGGCTAGAGCTTCGCAAAAAAAAAAACGAGCGTGTTGCTCGTGACGAGAGGAAGGCGACAATATCCAATTTTAATCCGCACCGGGCCGGTGCTCCGAGATTCCGCGCCGGGCCGGGGGGTGTCTGAACACCCCCCTCCCCCTTCTAACTCGGCTCCTGGGCCACGTAGCGACACGCGGTAAGCGACACTCGAAAGAGTAAGTGTTTTCATCCAAAATAAGGATGAAAACACTTCGGTCATTTTTTGGGTCAGGTCAAAGGTCAGGTCACCAGAGGTCACCAAAGGTAACATATTGACTATTTCAACATTTTGGAAACTGCCGACGGCTATCTCGGGAACCGATAGAGCTACAGCGCCGCGGAAAAGCACATTCGATAGCCCTTTTACAGAACTTTCTTAATAATGGTCTCAGATTTGACCTCAGGTCAACGGTCTAGCCTCCAGAGGGCAAAAAATCCAAAAATAGCCGTTTTTACGAAAAACGTTTTTTCGGCAATAACTTTTCACCCAAAAGAGTCATGACATTACTTTTGCCAGCATCGTGTTTCTCTCGTCGAGACGCGTCGAATGAACTATACTTTGACCTTGAAAGGTCAACTTTAAAATTTGACCTCAGGTCAAGGTCATGACCTGACCGGAAAAGGTCATCTTCCATATCAGTCGATCCGCAACGTCGAGCCGAACACATCTAAGGCATTTTCAGCGCTCTAGCACGCCTCTAGCAGAAGTTGTTAGCGAAAACTGTTAGATTCTGTTCGTGACCTGAGATGACGTCGGGGACATAACGAGGGGTCACAGATGCCATTTTCCGGTTGTGTGTCAATTTTACCTACATCTCGATGTTTTGAGAGTGTCAAGAATAGCGTTCGTGCAAAACAGACGCTGTTCAATTTTCTCCCATTCATTGACTTATACCTACTGGAGAGGCCGCAAAATTGACCTGACCTTAGGTCACCGATATCAAAATTTCGAGATAAACATTTTATAGATAATGTTACTCTTATCAATCGCTGAAGTTTCAACGGCAGTCATGCAGTCGGTGAAGCTATGACGAGCATTCTTATTTTTTTCTGAGGTGAGACGGTCTTTGAGCTCGTGTCGCAGACAGATGTCACAGATGTCACGCAAGTGACGGCAGAGCTCACTGATTCAAACGTTGAAGACGGTAGAGTGGAGCCCTCCCAGTCAGTGATTCTGCCCTTTAAGCGACTTTAGAGCATATTCTGAGAGACATTAATGATGAAAGCGGAACCGGAAGAAGGTGAATTGACCAAGCGGCGTCTTGAAAATATTGTGAAATAGAGAGCTGGGGCATTCCACGATAGATCGTACCAGGCCTGTCACCCTCATCTCTCAGATTTTAATGAAAATCGGTTCTAGGGGTAATCATAGGCCCCAAAGACGCCTGGCAAAATATCAGAATTCGAGTGATATTGCATTACATTTTTTTAACTTCGGTTTATAACGGTGAGTTTGATGGCCTTTAACTCAAGAACGGGTTACGCAACCAACAAACGGTGAACAGCACTAAGCTTGCGATGAATCAATGATAAATATTACTTTTTAAAAATTCCAAAGAAAAATTTTATTGGTTCAACAAAACTCTAAATCTTTTTTCATTTGCCTGTAATGACTTTTGGGACCAAAATTTTTCACATTTTTATTTTTTCAAAATAAACTTCATGTCATTGCAAATCGACATGCAAAAAAATAGAAAGGTGTTCTTTCTATAAGTTCCTCATTTTCCCGCAAACAAAATGGGTTTCGAGGGGGTTAATACGACCCCAGCACGCCGTTTCGCTTCTAATAGAGCTAGAGCCTCGCGGAAAAAACGAGCGTGTGTGCCGTTACAAGTCGCAGCGATTGGTACCCGATTTTAAGGTCGCAGGTTAACCGGTAGCGTCTGAGGTCAGGTCAAGTGACTGAAGTTACGGGTTCGGTTTTTAGTAAATAACTTCGCAAAAAATGGCCGCAGAGCCACGATTTTGGCATCATTGTGATCGCCTAGCTCAGGTGCGTCGAATGATATGCTTTTTGTTTGGGTGAGATTAACTTGAGTAGTTGACCTCGGGTCAAGGTCAGGTCAGAGCCCCTCAGGTCACGAAGCTGGGCAAAGGATGTCATATGACATATCATTCGATTCGGAAGGTCTTTCCGGGTCTATTGGTGGCTTTCCCGACTCTCTAGCTCAATTTGATCGGGAGTTATTGACGAAAAACTCGTACGACCCTAGTGACGTCATAAATGACGTCACGCAAGGCTAGCAATGCAAAAGTGAAGCCATGGACTTTGCAAGGAGTGCATGAAATCACGATACCATGTACGTGAGATAGTTTTAGATCATTCTTGGCGCCAAAATAACAGTTTTTATATTTCCCCATTGACTTATAACAGTGATGTCACGTGACCGACCTGACCTTATGTGACCTATGAAAATTCCCAGATATACAAGTTGTGAGACCTCTGGAGGACACCATATATGCGTCCTGTAACTTTTATCTCGGACAGCTATGGTCATTGGAGTCCAAAACAATGACAGAACCAAACAGCCTTTTTCACTCCCGCGCTTATAGGAAAGAGGGTTGGATGAACCCTCTTTTCATTTTTTTCAGATGAATCGGACCTCAATTGAAATATCAGTAACCCGTGATGTCACTAGGCACTAGGCAGCTTTACCACGCCATTTGTAAGCTCCCCTCCCGAAATCACTATTCGAGACCGTTATCGTGACGCAAAATAAATACATTTATAGAAAGAACACCTTCCTAATTTTTTGCATGCTTCTTAACAATGAGCCAAATATTTTTTAAAGGAAATAAAAATTCAAAAAAATTTGGTCCCAAAGTCCAAAAAATACAAATGAAGGAAAACTCGATATGTCATATAGGTATCAAAAATAGCGTATTTTTCAAAATTTCAAAAATACATATTAATCTCTGTTTCATTGCAAGTTCAATGCTATATAACATTTGGCATTCGAATAATCCGTCTTCGAGTTACAGCCCGCCATGAACTTAGCGTTGCAAAGCAAGATAAAAAAATGTTATGCACCATAACTCAACAAATACTTATCTGATAAGCCTGAAAGTGTTACAGGTGGATTCAGAGCGCCTGATTACCCCTGAGACCGATTCTCGTCAAAATCCGAGAGATGAGGGTGTCAAATTGAAAAAGTGGTACGATCTATCGTGGAATGCCCCAGCTGCCAAATTTGGCGTACCTGCACTGATCGCGAGTTTTAAAATAGAGAGACCTACCAGCAGTGGCTTAAAACTGTCGCGCTAACTACGAGTAGCATATACGAAGAGGTAGTGAGGCCTGGATGTGCTGGAACCCGTCTTTATGACGAGATAGTAAACGCACTGGTCGACGTACGGTTTTATTAATACCAATTGGGAATAAATGCTAATCAAATCGTAACGTTTCCTTCGCAAATTCAATCGGTTTTAATGCAAATGAACATGGTCTAAGGATGGCTTTTGGTTGTCACTTTGTTTGTGGTAAGCTAAAAGACGCAAAATATGTCAGTAGGAAATCATTCTAACGATAATGTTGGCAAGCGCTTTTTTGAGGCTCATTGTAAATAAAACCAGTATAACGCCTTTTGGGGCGACTAACGGAGCGAGCGAGAGGGTGAGCTTGCACGTGCGAAATTGCGAGGGGGTACCTCCAACTGACTTGTGCACGGCACCCTACTAACCGGTCTCTAGCGATGTGCCAAATTTGAGCACAATCGGCCCAGCCGTTCTCGAGATCTGGAAGCGGCACCCTGCACGTGCGCACGTGCAAAATGGGGCCCAACTGACTTTTGCACGGCACCCTACTAACCGGTCCCTAACCATGTGCCAAATTTGAGCGCCATCGGTCCAGCCGTTCTCGAGATCTGGAATCGACCCCTGCACGTGCGCACGTGCAGCAGCGCCCCAACTCTGGCACATGGATATGCAGTGCCTAGTGGGTGCCTACCTACATGCCAACTTTCAGCGCAATCGGCCAAGTAGTTACCGAGATATTGCAACAATTACAAAACGGACACCTCTTCGTTTTGCACGTGGCACGTGCATAAGGGGTCACCCACATGCATCGGGAATAGTCCAATACTTGGTAGAAGGAATGAAGCTATCCTACAAAAATTACCGCATGTAAATCGGTCAAGTGGTTGCTGAGATATAAGCCTCGCAAAAGCGTGACCACGGCCGGCCGCTCATACTCAGAAATTTCCGTTAATCTAAGGAAAGACTACGCTCGCTTCGCTCGCTCCGTAATGATAATAAGAAACCGTAGCCTCATAATAAGGTTCAATATATTGCCGAATATAATTATAACAAAGTGAGACGACAGTTTCGGGCGTAGCCCATTATCAAGTCTGACATATTTTTTTGAAATTTCAAAATGTCTAGCACACTCGCAAACACAAACATTCATTGAAGCGCATCTTCCTTTTTCTGGGATATCAAGCCTGATATATCTCTCAAACACAGCTACCATACATCAATGCATAAATACACGAAACATACAATGATGCACACATGCAAGATCAGATCGATTCGGGATATTCGTGCAGTTGTGTTACAATACACAGGTGCCAGGTGGTACTGAAATGATGAATGTGTCGGTGAATGAATAGGCAACTGAGTGAATGAGTGAATGAAACTTTATACAGTGTCTGTCTGACAGCCTATATATGGCCATATATAGGCTGTCAGACACTTTATACTTTACACAGAAACTTTATACAGTGTCTGTCTGACAGCCTATATATGGCCATATATAGGCTGTCAGACACTGTATAAAGTTTCATTCACTCATTCACTCAGTTGCCTATTCATTCACCGACACATTCATCATTTCAGTAGTCAGTACCACCTGGCACCTGTGTATTGTAACACAACTGCACGAATATCCCGAATCGATCTGATCTTGCATGTGTGCATCATTGTATGTTTCGTGTATTTATGCATTGATGTATGGTAGCTGTGTTTGAGAGATATATCAGGCTTGATATCCCAGAAAAAGGAAGCTGCGCTTCAATGAATGTTTGTGTTTGCGAGTGTGCTAGACATTTTGAAATTTCAAAAAATATGTCAGACTTGATAATGGGCTACGCCCGAAACTGTCGTCTCACTTTGTTATAATTATATTCGGCAATATATTGAACCTTATTATGAGGCTACGGTTTCTTATTATCATTTTATCATTCTAACGACCTTTAATGACAAGACCGGGATCCCGAAATAAAAACTTTCGGGATCCCGGGATTGGCAAAGCGTTCCGGGATTGTTATCTTGACCTGCAGCCCGACCAGAGCTACCCAGTAACGACGGCACCATAGGGCCTCACCCTGCAGTGCCCGCACACGTGCCCGACTGCCCTTGACTGACCCAGGCGGCGCGACTGCCAGCCGAGTGCACGCCCGGATCAAGGTCATTGCCCAGGAGCCAGAAGCGCAGCCCATCGCTGGCGAGAGGAAGCTGGTGATCATACGCTGCACCCTAACTCTGAGGATCATCGCCAGTATCAAACCCAAAATACATAGCCCACCAATGCACCAAACCTTCAGTGAAACGGTCACGGCGGGAGTTCGCCGACCGGAACACCCCTCACTGCGGCCGGGAGCCGAGCGGATCCCGCCGCGCCGTCCGGTCGTTGCCCCCGCCCCGCCGCCGCCGCTGGCACACGAGCATACCGAAACGTTGCGCAACGCCGCGACTGCCACGCTGGACGGACGCTGGAGACCGCTCCGCCTCCGGCTGTGCCGCGTGTCGTATAGCGAACGTGGTGGCGGGCTGGTGGCGAGCGCTGTAGAACTCCCGTGCTGGCTCCGTTTGAGCTTCAAAGAACTGGGTAGTCAGTAATATCGTCCGCTGAATAACTGATTGTACCCAAATGTCATAAGCTCGCTGCTTCGATTAGTCTATTCCTGTCTACTTGTGGATTGAAGTCGCAAACAGTTTCAACAATGTTCCATATTTTTTTATTAGAAACACCTTTTGAAACACCGCAGTTTCCACCAAGTGTACAACCGTGACGCAGCAACAGCCACCATTTCGGGCATTTTGTCCAGGGTTCATAACGATTAAATATAAACAAGTTGTCAAGCAACGAAATTAAACATGACACCGTAATCTGTGAACAGAACAAATGCCACTAGTCGACTCAACAAAAATCTGGTCTGTAAAGTCATGTCCTAGCCCCGTCCCCACATAACACATTCCCGTCCCTTACGAGGTCCAACCCAGGAATGATCACTCGCACCAGCTCATGCGTCGGCACTGGAGATTCTCACGCTCTCTCCCAAACGCACACAGTCACACGCACACACGCACGCTGGAGAAAACGCAATACCACGTCCAGTGCACGGCAAGCCAATTCACAGATGGAGAAGATGATGGCCTTCTACCAGACATGTGCGCACACAAAATAAATATCACCGGTTTTGCAGTGTCCCCCTGCCGGCGCCGCTAGTCTACAACTCGTCCTTGTCCGAGCTGGAGTCGTCGTCACCGGTCGGGGGTGGCGCACCGCCCGCGCCCTGGTACAGCTTGGAGATGATGGGCTGAATGATGTCCTCCATCTCCTTCTTCTGGGCCTTGAACTCGGCGGCGTCGGCCTCCTGGTTGGCATCGAGCCACTTAATCTTCTCCTCGATCACCTCCTCGATCTTGGACTTGTCGTCGTCGGACAGCTTGGCGCCCAGCTTCTCCTTATCGTTCAGCTGGTTCTTCAGGCTGTAGGCGTACGACTCGAGCTCGTTGCGCGCCTCCACGCGCTCCTTGAGCTTCTTGTCCTCGTCCGCGTACTTCTCAGAGTCCTGGATCATACGCTCGATGTCCTCCGGGGTTAGCCGGTTCTGGTCGTTGGTGATCACAATCTTCTCCTTGGATCCGGTGCCCTTGTCCTCGGCAGACACCTGCAGGATGCCGTTGGCGTCAATCTCGAACGTCACCTCGATCTGAGGCACGCCACGAGGCGCCGGCGGGATGCCAGTCAGATCGAACTTGCCCAGCTCGTGGTTGTCCTTGGTCATCGGCCGCTCGCCCTCGAACACGGAGATGGTGACCGTGTGCTGGTTGTCAGAGGCCGTGGAGAACACCTGGGACTTCTTGGTGGGGATGACAGTGTTGCGGGTGATCAGCTTGGTCATGACTCCACCCACGGTCTCAATACCGAGCGTAAGCGGGTTCACATCGAGCAGCACGATGTTGCTGGTGTCACTGTCGCCGCTCAGCACGCCAGCCTGCACGGCGGCACCGTAAGCCACAGCCTCGTCCGGGTTGATGCCACGGCTCGGCTCCTTGCCGTTGAAGAACTCCTTCACCAGCTGCTGAATCTTGGGGATACGGGTCGAGCCTCCGACCAGCACGATCTCGTCAACATCCTTCTTCTGCAGATCGGCGTCATCCAGCACCTTCTGCACTGGCTTCATGGTGCCACGGAACAGGTCCATGTTAAGCTCCTCGAACTTGGCACGGGTCAGCGTCTCAGAGAAGTCGTTGCCCTCGAAGAAGTTCTCGATCTCGATCTTGACCTGATGCTGGGAGCTGAGCGCACGCTTGGCCTTCTCGACCTCACGACGCAGCCGCTGGATGGCGCGGTTGTTGCCGCGGATGTCCTTGCCGTGCTTCTTCTTGTACATCTTGATGAAGTGTTCCATGACGCGCTGGTCGAAGTCCTCTCCGCCGAGATGAGTGTCTCCGTTGGTGGCCACCACCTCGAACACGCCGTTGTCGATGGTCAGCAGCGAGACGTCGAAGGTACCGCCGCCCAAATCGAACACCAGCACGTTCTTCTCGCCCTCCTTCTTGTCCATGCCGTAGGCGATGGCGGCCGCCGTCGGCTCGTTGATGATACGCATCACGGTCAGGCCGGCGATCGAGCCGGCGTCCTTGGTCGCCTGGCGCTGGGCGTCGTTGAAGTAGGCCGGCACCGTGACCACGGCGTGCGTCACCTTCTTGCCCAGGTAGGACTCGGCCGTCTCCTTCATCTTGGAGAGCACCATGGCCGAGATCTCCTCGGGCGTGAACACCTTGTCCTTGCCGTCCACCTCCACGCGCACGTGCGGCTTGCTGTTCTTCTCAATAAGCTGAGGAAGGAGAGAATACAATATAAGACTTTTCACAAGGAAATCTCAAATGCACGCGGAAGTCCGTGGCCGTGTACCTATCAGCAACGAGATAATTCAAATATTATCTAAACAGAAGATAGGCACCATTGAAATTACGGTACCTGTTCCTTCTAGAAAGACTATTGGTAAAGTACCAAAACTTGTATGCACGATTTATGAGCTTTAGTCACGCATATTTTCATTTTGCAAGATACTACGATGGTTAAATCAGGCAAAGGCAAATGGCCCATAAACGGGATAAAAACTGCCTTCATTACAGTCTTATTAGACCTTCACCCACTGAACTACATCCTTTGAGCCATCCTGCTCTTTTTGTTAGTACTTAGTCACATCACATCCTTTCATAGTTTAGCTAAATGCAGTGTTATTCCTCATCGACTACTGCGTTCACATTGCACTCATTATCTCCAGCCAGTTTCACCACCTCAGACATCAGCTCACCTTGAAGGGGAAGTACTTCAGGTCGCTCTGCACGCTCTTGTCGGTCCATTCGCGTCCGATGAGACGCTTCACGTCGAATACCGTGTTCTCGGGGTTCGACGTGAGCTGGTTCTTTGCGGCGTCACCGATCAGACGCTCGTCCTTGGTGAAGGCCACATACGAGGGGGTGATACGGTTTCCCTGGTCGTTGGCGATGATTTCCACGCGGCCATTCTTGAAAACGCCGACACTGAAAGAGAACATCTTTCAGAAAAAGTGCACTTCCCAATAGATTTTAGAATGGACTGCAAGCTGATGGCAAAACTGCATCAAAACACACTGCCACAAAAAAAATGGAACATGCAGTAAATGAAGTCAGTGACACAGCACTTCATTGTCACTGATCACAAGCGTTTGCAAGAAACACCAGAAAGGTCATGAGTTCACACTAAGTAAATGGTGCAGACCTGTGGCAATGATAGTGATTGTCACTACCTACATGCTAAGATTCCAATCTGAGCAAAAAAGAAAACAATGTGAGGTATAGTTATAAATTACAGGGATCAAGCGATTGTGAAAAAAAAACACTATGAAACTACAAAAAAAAACTATAATACACAATAGTCTACACAACAGAAACAGACAAGGGCCATGTGAACTAAGAGCCCAAACTTACCAGGAATATGTGGTACCAAGATCAATGCCAATGACTGTTCCCACATCAGGCTTGTCATCTTTTTCAGCAGCAAACACAGCAATGGCCAGAAGGCCCAGCAACAGTAGCCTGGTCATTTTGCTTTCTCAATTTAAACCTGCAAAGAAAGAAGGAACATTGAGTTGTCATCTGAAGAAAATTATTTTCAAAAACTGGTTCTGTTTAACAGCATGGGAACATTGATGTGGACAACTAATCAGAGCACACATGGTGGATAACTGTCTCTATTAACCCTCGCCCGTAAACGGCGATCTGCCACTTTCGCCCATGCAGGGGGGGGGGGTTGGTGCGACCCCCCCCCCCCTTGGCGTTTGAAAACGGAGCGTCGTAGAGCTTAGCGGAAAAGACCAACGGATTGCTCTCGCCGAGATCTCGCGATTGGTGGTATATTTTTTGGTCCTAGGTCAACATTTGACCTACTTTTGACCGGTCAAAGGTCAAATTTTCGGAAAAATAGACTTTTTTCCACTTTCGGCGGCGGTTGCGGCAAAACGGTGGGAGATATCGACTTGAAACCTTCACTATCGTGTTCCTTGATCAATTCTCTATCGTTTGGTATGTATTTCGTTTCCCTAGCTCTAAAAATGGCGCGTTGGGAGCGCCGGAAGTCGGCAAGGTCACAGTCGGCGGCAGAAATTCAAAAAATCAAAATTTAAATTTTTGAAATCTGATTGTATTTTTGGATTTGGGAGGTCCATTTGCTCCCTATAGAAGCTAATATTGCTGCATATTCCCATTGAGGTGACAACAATTAGCAAAATAGTGGTTCGGGCGCTTTTCAAAAATAGTACCGGACGCTGTTCCTCTTGTGACGTCATAGCTCCGTGACCTGACCTGACCCGGTCAAGTTTCTTACACCATATGATAACCAATACTTGCCCCAACATGCATGGGAAGTTTCATCACGATCCATCAACCGATCTCCGTACCACCGGCAGGAAACCTCGGGCGTTGGCACTCAGTTTGTGAAAATCCGGCCGCAGGCTGTTCCCTTTGTGACGTCATAACTCCGTGACCTGACATGACCCGGTCAAATTTTTTTATCAAAAGATGCGCAAGGTTTGCCCCATAAGGTACCCAAAATTTGGCGGCGCTGCGCGCCGCCGTTTTTGCACTATTTCCGAAAAGCCTCAGGGGGGGGGGGGTTGCACCAACCCCCCCTACATGGGCGAGGGTTAAATATAAATATAGCTTATATCCAAGCATCTCTGTCAATTCAAATGGACAATTTCTAATTAGGTAGCATTTTTGCTGTCAGTAATATGACTGTATTACCAATCAAGCAACATTGTGACCAGGATTTCCTTGAGCACCTGATCTAATGAAGAATTAGTGCAAATGAATGAACATATTGCACTTTCTCATTAGTGATACTTTTCATTGCAAATAGCACTGCTTGAGGCTGAGCATGAAATGGTACTGATATACAAGAGCAAACAGTTATGTTATAGCAAAACAAATGAAATAGTTAGCATAACTTTTAGGTATAGAAAGGACCTTCCAAAGGCAAAGGCCTATATATGAGGACACAAATTTGGGCAGCAAAAAAAAAACATGGAAATTTGACACATTTGCAGCAGAAATGTAGCATAGAAGTGAAGATAATACACACATAAAACAGTCAAACAACACAATATTTGGCAACAGCAGGTCAAGTAGTTTGGTGCATCTAGTCTGTCAAATGAACAAATCTTGGTGTGTTTTAGTGTGGCATAGGTTTGAAGGCAACAATTAGGCATGTAACTTGTTTCAACCCTTTATCCTTACACAAATATGCATCCTGCTAGATTGTCTTTTATTTAAGTCAATTGCCATCTTTGGAGCTACAGTTCTGCTCCTGGCATTAGGATATCTCCCATACAAGCCCTGGGAAGACACATTTGGAGCAGTCCCTTTTGAAACAAGGGAGCAAAACCAACTAACTTATCAATACAATTTTGCTTTCACTTCTTTTTAGAAGGTAAATATGCACACAGTATGTAGGTAGTTTGGTTGAACAGATCAACTAATAAAAAACCTTGCATCAATATTACTGAGCAATTCTAGCTCTCAGTTGAGCACCTCAGAGCTCAGTGGGGGAAACTGTGGTCAAATCTTCTATTTTTGGAAGCCTTCCATTTTTGGAAGGACCTTCCATAAATGGGTATGCATTTTCCAAAAATGGAAGGCTTCCAAAATTGGAAGGTCTAATCTCAGTGTTCCCAACTGTGATTCACATTCTTTGATTTAAGTTACGGCCTTTTTAAATGTGTAACATTAATAGTTGATTTTGCCATTTATGATCATTGATATAAGGAGAAGCAGCAGTGCTAGTGTTGGTAATACAGGCATGCTATGTCAATGTACATAGTGATATAATAGCATGGTGTCCTGGCGCACTGCTCTCTTTTTCTACTTCTAGAGGACACATAGAAATTCAGAAGAGAAAACAGCTGGTCAATAACCAACCAGGAGGAACACAGCTATAGCCCTGACAAAAAATGGTTTAAATTAAACTTACTATTCCTCATATAAATTGAAGATTCATGCTCCTTCGATAGAAAGTAACACGAAAAACGGCGCAGCAACGCCTATTTAATTCGTCCCATATTCCGGAAAAAAACATTGAAAAATGACGAGACCTCCACCCAAATGTTTGGCAAAAGCCTTAAAAAATTGAAATCAACCACACAATATGCTAATAAATGCAGAAAACGGCAACAAATACAAGTTTTACTCGCCACTACACTCCCGAAACCGCCGCACTCTGTCCAGACAATTCCGCACTGTAAATAAAGTCGGCGGTATTGAACAAGCATGGCCCGTCACTAAAGTACTTTTAAGGATATTTACTTTTCGTTTTTGATGCTTTTTGCTTACAAAATGTTTGATAAAGTCTTATAAAACCATCGTTTGTCGGTAAATTTTTGTCAATTTTCCACGACTCATTACTTTGAAAAATTACCTAAAATACATCCACGCTAGGATTTAGGCATCCACGCTAGATTATGGACACTTCACTGTGGCGAATAGAAAGCGACCAGAGGCGATAGTCGCATTTGCCTCATGTTCGGCGGAAATCGGTAAGTTCCAACATATGCGCAACATTTTCTATATTTGGGTACGATGACGTCGTCAGCGTACCCATTTTTGGAAGGTGCGTACCCATATATAGAAAATCCTTCCAAAAATGGAAGGCTTTCTAAAAATGGAAGATTTGACCACAGTTTCCCCGACTGAGCTAGAACAGCTCAACCTCAAACTTGAACAGCTGGCAGAATTGGCAGTCTTTAGAATTATAATACCTTCATTCTATCCCATAGAAAAATATATTTGATAAATAGGTACCTACCTACCAACTAAAATGGCATTCCAATTCAATCTGAAATAAACATCATCTACACTGCGGAAACAAACCAGATAAATATATCATACATAATGTAGGAATAGAAATTTGTACAGGTTTATATTACAACAAAACCTGGCAAAATGATGAGCCCCTAGCATATGCATGCCGGACGTCCACGCCGACAAGCATAAGCCCATAAAAAAAGAGAAAATGAAAAAGGAAATCAATAATTGAGCGTGGACGATTGTGTCGACGTCGTACTCCCTGGCCTCCTAGACCTTAGTCCCTAAATGATGGCAATCCATTTTCATTTCAGTATCTCACCTTGGTGTAGTCCGAGGAAGAAAGAAACCGAGCCCTCACACACAACCAAACCGGAGACAAGTCTGAGAGAAACGCCGGCCCGCTACACGAACGTCGGCCGCCACACAATCAGCAGCTGACGGGGAACTCGGTCGACGATCTTGGCGTGGCCTCACGCTATTGGCCAACAGCGGTGACGTCGAGTCCCTTCCGGCATTCCTATTGGTCCGAGTACGCCAATTTGGTAACAAAACTCTTACCATATGGCCACGTAGCCTTCAATGAGTGAAGGGATCCCACCAACCTGTAAAGGTATTCACGAAAATTCTACTGTGTTCTGGCAATTGCTGGCAATGGCTTATACTCGGCTATGCCAGGAGCAGAACTGTAGCTCCAAAGATGGCCATCAGGGCCTGGCCCCCCCCCAAAGGCAAATCAGGGGGGGCCATCATATCATTTGCCCCCCCCCCAAACAACCGATGGGCCCCCATGGCCGTATGGGGCCCTGGCCCGTATTCGATTGTCACGAGGCTCGAGAAACCCACGCCAGCTATTAACAGCTCCCATACCAGTCTTTGAGGGTCCTACACTGACCTCTGAGGGCCCTTCAGTGGCGGTCAAGCGTCCACATTGACCGCTGAGGACCCGTATTGACCTCTGAGGGCCCTCCCCTCCACTGGCCTTTGGGGGTCCCTAAACCGGCCTCAGGGGCCCAACTGGCGTCTGAGAGCCTCACACCGGCCTCTGGTGGCCTCATTTCTGTCTCTCGAGTCCCAAGACTAGCCTCTGAGTGTCTCTGAGGGCCCCGCACTGGATTCTGAAGACCCGATGTCGAGCCAGCATCGGCCTCTGGGGCCCATCTTGGCCTTTGAGGGCCCTCCGCTGGTCTCTGGGGTCCAACGCCGGCCCATGCCGGCCTTTTAGGGCCCGGGCCCTGACCTCTTAGGGCCCATGCTGGCCTGTAAGGACCCACATTAGCCTCTAAGGGCCCCCCGCACTGGATTCTGATGACCCAATGCCGGCCGCTCAGGGCCCGCATCGGCGTCTGAGGGCCCATCTTGGCCTTTGAGGGCCCTCTGCTGGCCTCTGGGGTCCAACGCCGGCGCATGCCGGTCTTTTAGGGCCCCACACTGACCTCTGAGGGCCCATGCTGGCCTGTAAGGATACACATTACCCTCAATGGGCCCCACACTGGATTCTGAAGACCCGATGCCGGCCTCTAAGGGTCCGCATCGGCCTCTGAAGGCCCATCTTGGCCTTTGAGGGCCCTCTGCTGGCCTCTGGGGTCCAACGCCGGCCAATGCTAGTCTTTTAGGGTCCCATTCTGATCTTTGAGGGCCCCATGCTGGCCTGTAAGGGCCCATATTAGGTTCCGAGAGCCCCCCGCACTGGATTCTGAAGACCCGATGCCGGCCTCTAAGGGTCAGCATCGGCTTCTGCGGGCCCATCTTGGCCTTTGAGGGCCTTCTGTTGGCCTCTGGGGTCCAACGCCGGCCCATGCTGGTCTTTAGGGCCCCACACTGACCTCTGAGGGCCCGTGCTGGCCTGTAAGGACCCACCTTAGCCTCTGAGGGCCCCGCACGGGCTTCTGAAGACCTGATGCCGGCCTCTAGGGGCCCGCATCGGCCTAGTCTGAGGGCCCATCTTGGCCTTTGAGGGCCCTCCTCTGGCCTCTGGGGTCCAACGCCGGCCCATGTCGGTCTTTTAGGGCCCCACCCTTACATCTGAGGGCTCCATGCTGGCCTGTTGCAAGGACCCATATTAGCCTCTGAGTGCCCTATTCGGTCTCTGATGGTCTCAAACTGCCCTTTGCAGGCCCTGTACTGGTCTCTGAGGGCTCTAAACTGGCCCCTAAGAGCCCAAACCAGCCTCTAAAGGTCCCACGACCCACACCGGCCTCTGATGGTCCCATTTCTGTCTCTGGGACCGAAACTGCCCTTATGTGCCTCTGAGTGCCCCGTACTGGCTTCTGAAGGCCATCGATGCCGGCTTCTGAGGACCCATACCGGTCTTTAAGTGCCTCATAGCGACACCTGAGGCCCCACACTAGCCTCTGAGGGGCCCGCAAACTGGCCTATGAGGTCTCTACACCGGCCACTGATGGCCCTATTATGTTCTCTGGGGGGCTCAAACCTTACCTTTGGGCGTCACGCACTTGCTTATGAAGGCTCACATCAGCCTCTGGGGCCCTACCTGGGGCCTTTGAGGCCCTTCGCTGACCCTTGGGTCCAACGCCGGCCTCTGGGGGTCTGACACCGTACTCTAAGGGCCCCATTGCAGCCTCTAGGCGATAGGTATCGCCGAAGCGCTATCGATGGGCCCATAAGTGTAGGAACCATGGGTGCAGTGGGCGCAGTTGCACCAACAATAATTCTGCAGTGAGTGCAGACAATGTATTCTGCATCCACAATAATCTGGAAAAAACCCCTTTCCTCAGCAACACTACTTTCCATGCAGCACGACAAATTTAGGATATTTTGCCCACTATCCGTCTTTCGAAGCATTTGCTACTGTACCTAATCGTCTTCAAAATTTGCATTTGTGCTCAAGTGAAAAAAGATTAAACGGAAGTCGGAACACATGTGTGAACAGATACCGATGAGCCACTGTTAAAAGTTTTAGCACGATGATCTTAAAAAACGGCAAGGTTTTTTTTTGCAAAGAAAATTGCAAAGTTAGCCGCCTTTACTTTTGCGGTAGTCCATTCACAGTTGCGTGAATTATTGACATAATCAATGCTTCAAAATGCACTTTTCGGTACCTTTTCGACATGGTGCACCCTCAAAGCTCTCAATGAGCCTCCGCTCGGGTGCCGCTCCCTAACCCCCCCCCCCCCGCTTCACCGGCCATGGCCTAGATTTCTGCACCCGTACACTACGCCCGTGGGCCCCTTTAAGCTAGCACCGGGCCCCCCGGGTCAGCGCAGGGGCCCCTTTGCCAAGTTGGCCCCCCCAAACTCCAAGTCTGCGACCGCCCCTGTATATCAGCGCTTTAGTAAGCGAGAAATGCCTCTGGCACATCAAAAATTTGGCACCGGTAACCACTTTTGAACCATTTGGCAGGCTTAGAAAGTTAAAAGCGTTCATGGATACGCTCTTGCATGAACGGTACGGCTGTATGACTTACCTACTGAGCGGCCTGATCCTATGGGCTATGGAATAGATCGTGGGTCATCGACTCATGAGTCATACTCATGACAATAATTAAAATCCTGATACTGCCATGCCTTTTTCAAGCCATACACAGAAACCACAGACTGCTCTAGACACCAAAGGTTTAAAACTGAGGCATTATACGTAGTTCGTGGGGCTGCTCTTTTCGGTGGGACTCTTTGTGTGCGAGGCCGAGTTTCAAAACGAGTCAAGGCCTCAATCTTGGCTGAATCTATAGGCTAGGGTCTAGTAGGACTAGGAACGCTGATTTTTTTACATTTCATGCTGCTCAGGCCAAGAGAAGGTGCGCCACATATTTTCACTGGCGGTTTGCTGGGAAAGTTATTAGGTGACACGCCATATATGGGTGTTCAAATGTTGTGCTTTGGATAGCAATTACAACTATTCATGTATTCAAGAACTGTTGTGCAGTGCTTTTTTCGAGCCGACCCGTAAATGACCTAAGGCTATCGCGTGACCTCTAGAAGTAAAATTCATGGCGGGAAAAAGTTTCAGGTCATGGACCATGGTGAGCTATTTTAGCCACTTTAAAGGGACCCTCCCACCTTCAAAAAAGTTAATGAATTGGCATGAAAGTGATGTCGCTCGGTTCAGAAAGAGCAAAAACGAATATCTACCAAATTTCATCGAAAAATATTCACCGGTTTTCAAGATATTAGACTTTTACTTTTGTTTACTTTTTGGGATCTCCGCTGTTCCTAGCGACTTTATTTGAAAGTGCGGCATTGGTTGCGCGCAAAGCACCATATACCACCGCGTGCTACAAAACGTTTTAGTCAAACATTTAACGGACGTTCGAAAGCCTGATGACGTCATCAGATTCCCGTAATGGTTAAGAGATAGGGACCACGCTGGTCCCACCCTGCAAGTAAAGGGAAGAAATTTATTGAACACCATAAAGCTGCGGGGCTTGCGACCAGGATAAATGATGGTTTCTGAGCCTGGCCGCAAACTTGGCTATCTCAACTCAAAACTAATGTTAAGGTGGGAGGGTCCCTTTAAAGGGACCCTCCCACCTTCAAAAAAGTTTATGAATTGGCATGAAAGTGATGTCGCTCGGTTCAGAAAGAGCGAAAACGAATATCTACCAAATTTCACCGAAAAATATTCACCGGTTTTCAAGATATTAGACTTTTACTTTTGTTTACTTTTTTGGGATCTCCGCTGTTTCTAGCGACTTTATTTTAGAAGTGCGGCGTTTGCGGCAGATGTTGCGCGCAAATAGCATATACCACCGCGTGCTACAAAACGTTTTAGTCAAACTTAATGACGGACGTTCGAAAGCCTGATGACGTCATCAGATTCCCGTAATGGTTAAGAGATAGGGACCACGCTGGTCCCACCCTGCAAGTAAAGGGAAGAAATTTCTTGAACACCATAAAGCTGCGGGGGTTGCGACCAGGATAAATAGTGGTTTCTGAGCCTGGCCGCAAACTTGGCTATCTCAACTCAAAACTAATGTTAAGGTGGGAGGGTCCCTTTAACGCTCTAACTCCACTTGGTGGGCTACAATCTGCTGTGGGAATTTTGAGACCGCGACCACGGCGACCTGCATCCTTATCTATATTGTACCAAAAGTTATTTGTCAAACAGCCGGAAGTGCTACCGAATAATTTGAGCCGCAAATTCCCTTCCACAAGGATTCCGGTGTCTGCACTTTCAAATCGATCCGCGAAGCGACCCGACTCTGGCTGAATCTGGTCTGAATCTGGGCTGAATAAATACGGGCCCAGATTCAAACATTTCTTTCCTTTGATCCGTCCCCTTACGCAACTCTCCGGCTACCAGCTCCATCGCTTATCCGCACTCCAGTTAAGACGCTGTCAAAGGTGATGGTGGCACGATTTAGTTTTTAATCATCTGCTAGAAACATTTACCCATACACGAGATTGTTGTGTAACACTGCTTACAAGCTGAAGCTAGCCGAATTATTGACCTTGACGTCATTTCTTCCGGAGGGAAAGGCTTGGCATCATATGCAGTGACTGGACACGGCATGGTTCGTGTAGGACTGACCCCGTTAGGTACATGTTATACCCGCCGCCTGGTATGCGCCAATGCATCAGCCGTT